CAACGTGCAATTGGTTGGTGTACTAATAAAATTTAGCGCACTCTCTTGGCTTTGCGGTTTCGTTACGTTCTTCCTTTGTGTCGGTCTCAATTTGCTTAATCGTGTAGGATGTGATAAATGCAAAAGTCGAAATGTATGGTGCGCCAGCAGGAGCATAATGTCCATTACTCCCTTGGGTAAATCTCAACCTGTAATATTTTTAGGACCCTTAAATTTATTTTGGGAATGCAACCTCTTCAGCATAGCGATCAACTTCAAAATGAAATTTCCCTAATCGTATGTTGTTTGGAAAAAGAAATATCATCCCAAGATTAAATAAGGAATGTCTAATTTTTGGAGGGCTATTTATTTCATTTGAAAATAGTAATCTAGTTATCCCTAGTTGAATCACAAAAATTTAAATAGAAAAAATCCTCTGAAATATCTCTATTACATGAGGAAATTAATATACAGTATCCTCCCGCAGGATCATGCTTTAAGTGCTTAAAGATACCTCTTTTTAGAAAGAATTATAAAAATTATAAATAAAAAAAAAAGGGTAAAGAATTTATCTGTAATAATTTTTTTTACATTTTTTATCATTTTGACAAAGATTAGAATATATTTTGACATGAATACTTATTTTTATATTTTCTCCCTTCTTTGAATCATTTCTATAATAGCTCCAGTCACATTGATTTAAATTTTTCACTACCATTTTAATCTCATTTAGATTCTTTTTTTCAATTTTATTTAATTTTTTTTTATAACATTTTTTTGGCTATTTCAATACTTGGCCAAACTCAGGCTGAGTTACTTGGACTGAGGCGACCTCGCTATGTGTAAGATGAGATGAAAAAATGAGTAAATTAATGGGGATTTGGGGCCGTGCCCATGTCATTAATAAGATAAAAACGTGCAATTAATGTCTGTTGAATTAATAATTCGGTGGTGTTCCCTTCTCAACTTGGTTAGACGTGAAGGATCGTGAGAGGAACAATAACTCTCTCTCTTCCGTTTTATGCGCATCATCGTTTACCTGTCTATTGTCTCTTGCTATTGGACCGTGGGTTCCGACACCCGAATCCCCCTCGTTAATCTCCACCTCGTTAATAAAATAAACATAAACTACAGATGCTTCTTTTAATCATACCTGTGGGAGAAAAAAAAGAGGAAAAAAATATAGACAAATATAAAAGAGATGCAAGAGTAAGCATTTTGTTGGGTCTTACACACACATAAGCAGACCAATTTCAGAAGCTGATATAAAACTCATAACATGAGAATGAAGCTACTTACACAAAAAATTATCGACAAATATAAAACTGGAGCTAGAAAAAATTGGGGTGAAATCCATTATTAAAAAATGAAACACATGAATCCCATTATCAACAAACCAATTAAAATCATCCAAAAGAGCATCAACTCCTCTTTAAGATAGGGGATATAGAGCACGGAACATTAAGTAGGATTTGGTTCAGTTGTCAAGGAGGAAGGAGAGGATTGTCTTGTTTGCTGTGGCCTTGATAACGGCCGCCTCAGAAACCATCGCAATCTCTGAGCATGAGAAGTTTTTGGCCCCATAAGGGCCTTCATCTTCTCTCTCTGGAACTTCCTGTTAGCAAACCATCTACCACCTCTCCAACCGAGACCATACCTGCAAATTTCAATTGACAGTCCATGTAATGTATGAGAGTGAGACATTCTTTACCATGCATAGTGGATAAGAGAAATAATGGCCCCACAAATGTCAAACATGCATATTTTACCCTTTTGAGCCAACTCAGTCACTGCCAAAACGGAGTCAGCTCGCCGAGTTTAAAAAGTTTTTTCTGAAACTTAGGTTAAAAAAGTTAACACAGGAAAACTAAGAAAAGTTTTTAACATATCTGACGCTTAGTTTCTAAAAAGAAAAAAGAATCAAGTCACCAAGTCAAAAACCTCAGTATTATCACATCAGAAAGTCGCCTTTTATAGATCAAACTACAGAAAAAGTAATATACAACCAAAAGTTTGGGATCCTCAGGAGTTTTTCATTTGTAAAACACATCTAGTGGTTGAGCAAAGCATTTCTGGATAAAAACGGCATCTAGTTGGCACAGAGTTTTTCTAGTTGAAAACAATTTTATTACTAGATGCAAAGCATTATGCGTTGGAAAATTGGTATTTTGTTTTTCTTTTTTGATCAGTAAAATGAAAAAAAAAATACGACACTTATCAGGAAGTGGAAGTTAGTTCAAGTGGAAGGCTAAAAAAGGACAAGAAGCAGGTCCAAGAGGATATAGTTAGAAGTAGTGAGAAAAGATATAAGGATTTATGACTTCACTGAGATTATGGCCCTTGATAGAGCAGAATGGCAAACTAGGATTCATACAGCCGACCCCAAATAGTTGGAAAAAGGCTCTAATGATAATTAGTGAAATGAAATATATTTCGCATATGTATATTTCTAATGATAATCATATCGTTTGCACACCAAATATGTTGTGCTAGTTGCGCATTAATGTCTCTCATCAATGCTGATGTCAACACAATAAATGCGACGTAGCCGGTAACAATTGACCATGCTTTTCCATTGTATTGTTGGTTTTGCCCAACAAGTGGGAAACTTCACCGAAATGAAAATGATTTAAATTTAAAATCTTGGTGGAGAAAAAAACTTCACAACTCCACACAACAAAATTATATCTATATGGCATTGTGACGTACTTTCTAAACAGTGAACTCGTAAAAATCACTGAAGTACATCTCAGCAAAAAAACGTGGCCAGGTTAAAACAATACCCTGTGGGGCTATGCATGTTTTGGTTGTCCAAAAACAGAGCTACATTATAACCATCATAGGACACTTCATGCACAGCCCATCAAAATCAGCCTCATGAAATAGAGTATTCTTATGATTGCCCCTTGCATATTGATGAAGAACTTAATTGGAAGTGATTTTAAAGTAGAGAACAGGTCAATTAGTGTTCAAAGATTTGGGAGGACGTTAACAAAAACACTTTATAAGTTGGTGAGCTTATGTGTTCGTGTTATATGGTGTATGTAAGTATGGATGCCTAAGTACAAACATCCACACACCCATGCGCGCACACACAAAGTCACAGATAATAACCATTGTTTAAAAACTCGGCCAAGTAACTCAGCCTCATAACTCTGCTGAGGCCAAGTTAAAAATAAAATTTTTTTACTAATAATAATTAATGACACAAAAACATGTTTCTATATAATGTTTATGTTTATTATAAGGGAAAAGTTTATATAGAGTCGAGGCTCTAAACAATCAAATTTGAGCCTACCTCCAAAATTTCACTAGAAGAGGTTGTTTGGATGCCCAAATATCTTCAAATTTATCATCTTGCCATCAAGATGCATGGACATGAAAAAAGAATGGATTGCAAGTTTTAGAAATAGTATATTTTATAACGCATTTTTGTATCGCTAATTTTCAAGATTTTCAAGTTTTCATAGATATGTCGATCTACACTATTTTTGAAGCTTTAAACTTCATAAATAAATATGAAACTATATTTTAAGGCTATCACAAAGATTTCCAATATTGAAACCGCATTTTTTGACACTATTTGAAGGTAGACTCTAATTTGATTGTTTGAAGCCTAGGCTCTATACAAACCTCACCCTTATTATAATGATCTATGAGTTTTTCTTATAATATGCACTATTTTTTTATTTTTCCATAATTCCTTTTTTTTTTTTGATATAAATCA